CAGGCCTTTAAACAACGGACTGTTCCTGAGTCCCAGCTTCCTGGGGTCTAAACGCGGCTATAGAATTTGGCCTTTTTCGAAACTGTCCATTGTGCATAGGAGCCTGGGACTCAGGAACTGTAGGTACTTTAGAGACCTATATCTTCAAAATTATTCCACTAAATCGAAAAAATCTTTTTAACTTTTTAACTAACCTTTTCCGCTTTTTTCAAATCCAAAAGGTCCCGCAAGTGATATAGGCACTTTAATATATATGTAATCATATTTTACAACTGTAGCACTGAGTTGAAAGTGTAAACAAAGCGTTTGTTTACATTACGGACTTTACAGCATCTTTATAGCAGACAAGCAATTTAATTATAAATCATGGAATGTGTATTTAATCATACATACCAGAAAAAATATTGTAAAATACAGTAAATATATTCATAAACTTAAAAAGGTATATGTTTTACTTTATTCTCCATATATATCTGGATCTCAAGCACCCGTAATGCATAACATCAATTTATACAGTATGTCGCGTAGATTCTCAAAGATTTACTCGATATTCACGTCTGAAAGTTTATACATTTGAAAACAACCCTGTGTCGCTCCTTCCTAGCATTGTTACGCCATCGTGATCTGCGGCTTTATAGCGCATGCGCATTTGCGCTGCTAAAGAAAAAATCGGGTGTTCCGGGGTAAAGATCCTTTACACAACATGAGAAGCGAATGTAAAAAAAAATTACAAAAAATTACAATAACGACAAGGATTCCTAGAATTTTTTGTAAACCTGGAAAAAGGAAAAAAGAATATTTAAATAAGACAACTGAAATTGCCTGAATAACCTTCAAAGCACTAAGTGCAATAAATCACTGCTAACATAAATCGTATACACCCCCCGGAAAGTTTACACTATGACTGAATGAATGAACGAATGAATGATTAGTTTGAATTTTCCCCACTGATCACAGTACTGTAAAGTTTCTAAGAAACTTTGCAGTATTGGAATGAGTGGGGAGACAAATTTGGGGGGACAAAGGTCTTTTTTTTAAACTGTCGCCAGCTGCTTGTACGATACCTGGGTACGAAATTAACTTGCGACAGTGTACTTCAGTTACAACCATATGGAAACAATTACTGCTATTTGCAGATGAGCTCGCCGCGGGCCGAATTTTCGAACGTTTTTTCATCTGTCAACAAACAGTTGATTGGCTTCCAACGCCACGTTTTTCATGTGTCAACAAATAGTTGATTGGCTTCCAACGCCACGTTGGCGCGGCGCCAACGCTACGTTGAGGGAGGCCATAGATATAGTTGAGGCGGCGCCAGCACTACGTTGCCTAACGCCTATAAATGGATGATTGTCGAAAATCGATGAACAAAACTTTCCACTCAAACATGCTGAAATAAAATTGCAGTAATCAATTCTTAAATGTTACCAGTATTTTTATTTATAAGTTGGGTACTGTATTTTGAAAATTGGTAGACATTCATAAATCGTGACGAGGCCTCATATCCTTGGATACGGGGAAAAAACGCGGTTAATCAACCGGAAAACTGCTTGACAGGCCGAATTCAGACGCTATTATATCGACTTTAACGGCTTGTTTCTTGTTTTTTTTTTCTTCGATTTATAATGATTTTTGTGTGTATTTTAAGACATTGTGCCCACAACGAAAGCGGTAAACGAGTATATTATAAAAGCGACCGGTTTTACCCCCGTTTTTGTGTGGAAAAAATGACAACGTAGTGACAGTGCTTATTCCGAAGCGAAAAATAGTATTTTACTGAGATTTTAACGTCAATATAAAGGTTATTTCGTGAAAAATCAAGACAACTATGATAATTTTTCGAATTTGACATTAATATGAAAGAAAACAACAGGTCAAAAATCACAAGAGAACGTCAAATGTTATTGATTCGTACGGAAAAATATGAACGATGGCTGTGGCTTGATAACATTCTGCAAGCAGCTTACAAGTTTAAAAAATGAAGGCTACATTACCTGAGTGAGTTGTAATCTTATTTCTTCAACAATAGTTTCATATTTCTTACGTTCATGTAAAGCAAAATACTTCGAAAAGTTAAATACGAAATTACAGGACCCCAAATTAGGAACAAAGAAGTGGTGGGGCATAGTCAAATCGTTATACGGAAGTAAAATACATTCATCAATACCGCCACTATCTGATGGTGATCGCATAATAACTGATGCAAAAGAAAAAGCCACAATTTTTAACCAGTACTTTATTACTCAGTGTAAAGTGGATAACAATGATGCGCCGATACCTAATGTAATTGATTTTCAAAATTCCAGGTTTATTTCACATTTATCCACAACTGAGTTTGAAGTTAGAAATTTATTAAGTATAATAGATGTTTCCAAGGCTTGTGGTGTCGATGGTATAGGTAACTTTTTAATTAAAACTTGTGCCCATGGTATTGCGAGTTCTTTTTCACGATTTATTAATATTTCTTTTTCCAAGGGAGTTTTTCCGTCTGCATGGAAGAAAGCAAATGTTATACCTATTTTCAAAAAGGATGATCGACAGTCTAAGGAAAACTATCGTCCTGTTTCATTATTGATATCTATTTCAAAAATTTGTGAAAAAATCGTATTTATTAGGCTTTACAACTTTTTATTGGAAATCCATTTCCTTAACCCCTTTCAATCAGGTTTCCGACCTGGAGACTCTACAGTAAATCAACTTGTTTTTATTGTTCATAAAATCTATGAAGCCTTAGAGCAAGGTAAGGAAGCTCGCATGGTGTTTTTGGATATTAGCAAGGCCTTTGACAAAGTCTGGCATAAAGGTTTGCTCCGTAAGCTCGATTCTCTGGGAGTAAGAGATCCCTTACTCAAATGGATAAGGAGTTACTTATCTGATAGGATGCAGCGTGTATTAATAGAGGGTCAGTCATCTGATTGGGACCGAGTTGAAGCTGGTGTTCCCCAGGGCTCTGTTCTGAGCCCTCTGCTTTTTTAATTTACATAAATGGTATCACTTGTGACCTTCAGAGCGATAGTTTTCTTTATGCTGATGACACTTCTCTGCTTGAAGTGGTTGAAGATCCAACGTTTTCTGCTGTTAGAATTAATAATGATCTTGAGCGTATTAATGCATGGACACGTGATTGGCTTGTCACTATCAATCCAAGCAAAACCAAATCCATTATTTTTTCTGTAAAGCGTGTAAAGCCCAGTCATCCAGACTTATATTTCAATAATGAAATTATCGATAATGTTAGTAATCATAAGCACTTGGGTGTCACCATTTGTTCTGATCTTTCTTGGAGAATTCATATTTTTAATGTTTATGAGAAAGCTTCAAAAAAATTAAATCTCTTGAAAGGCTTAAAGTTTAAATTAGGTAGGGAGACGTTAATTCAATTGTATAAATGTCTCATAAGATCTCAAATGGAGTACGCCGACGTCCTTTGGGATGGCTGCTCTGTTAGTGAGAGTGATCTTTTGGAACATCTACAATATCAATCAGCTAAGGTGGTCACAGGAGCTATGAAGGGTACAAGTAAATCGAGATTATTAGAAGAGCTAGCTTGGGAAGATTTAAAAACCAGACGATCTATGCAAAAACTTGTTTTGTATTTCAAAATAGTAAATAATCTTACTCCAAGCTATTTGCCTGACTTAATTCCTCAAACAGTTCAGCAAAGGTCGGGTTTAGTTCTACGGCATGCTTCAAATTTTACTTTATTTCCTGTTAGAACTGAAAGATTCAAAGCTTCTTTCTTTCCTTCAACAACTATGTTATGGAACAGTATGGAATATAATGAACGTAGTACTTTATCAATTAGCGTTTTTAAACAAAATCTTAATCGTTTTTTTTGATATTTCATGTTATAATAAGTATCTTGATTATTCAATTGATAGATATTTCTCCATTTTACATTCTCGGCTTCGTCTCAATTGTTGTACTCTTAATTATTACTTGTTTAAAATAGATTGTATTGAAACTCCAGCATGTGTGCGTGGTGCAAATAATGAATCAATTATGCATTATTTGCTAAGGTGTCCCCGATTTTCTGCTCTGAGGATTTCCTTACTCTCGGCTGCTGCACAAGTTTGTGGTGATAGCTGGAATCTTTTGTCGGATTCTCAAAAATTAAAGATGTTTTTGTTTGGCGATGTTAATCTAAATATAGATGATAACAAAAAAAATTTCAATTTTGTCCAACAATTCATTAAAGAATCTGAACGTTTTCGTTAAGCTCTATGAGGGAATCCTCCAAACGATCCAGTAATTTGTTTGTCCTTGTTTTATTTACTCTATTTTCTTTTTTCTTTTAAATATTATGTAAATAGTGACGTAAGCCCCTCGATGAGCTTGATAGCTCTTGGGTAAACGTCGTTTTGAAAAATATATGTTTATACAAAAAAATATTTCTTACGATTTTGGTGTTGTATAGACGTTTTTTAGCCTTGTTGGTTGTTTGTTTTGGCCATAAAAACTTGGCAATAATACAATGTCAAAGGTTTCTTTCTTCGATTGCTCCAGCATCTTTTGCTTTAAATATCATGCTATATTTTCTCAGAAGTATTTTTTCAACTTTCAAGCTCAGTTGATGAAAAAACGTTCATGAAAAAACGTTCGAAAATTCGGCGCGCCGCGAGCTCATCTGCAAATAGCAGTATCCATAAAAATCATTCAGAGGAGCGTATCTTCGTGAGCCGTGAATGGTCAATATTTGTTCGCGTGAAACGTGAAATGCTTGATTTTAGTGATTTTTACGGGAAATGAGAGTATTTTCCGGGAAATGAGAATTAAGGATGTCTGCTTCGTGAACTGTGATTTTGCTTTGTTTATTTCGATCTATTTTATAATAGTCATAATAAACATGATACCCGATAATCAAATTTATATGATCTCACTCGATTGCACAAGAGTAAAAACTTCGGAGGCCTTTCGCGAGGTTCCTGACGCTGAGCACAAGGTTCCTGAACCTGAGGACAAGGTTCCTGACGCTGATGATAAGGTTGCTCACGCTGAGGACAATGCCTGACGCTGAGGACAAGGTTCCTGACGCTGAGGACAAGGTTCCTGATGCTGAGGAAAAGGTTCCTGATGCTGAGAACAAGGTTCCTGACGGTGAGGACAAGGTTCCTGACGCTGAGGACAAAGTTCCTGACGCTGAGGACAAAGTTCCTGACGCTGATGACAAGGTTCCTGACGCTGAGGACAAGGCTCCTGACGCTGAGGACAGGATTCCTGACGCTGAGGACATGGTTTCTGACGCTGAGAACAAGGTTCCTGATGGTGAGTACAAGGGTCCTAACGCTGAGGACAATGTTCCTGACGGTGAGGACAAGGTTCCTGACGCCGAGGACAAGGATCCTGATGCCTAGGTCAAGGTTGCTGACACTGAGGACAAGGTTCCTGACTGTAAGAACAAGGTTCTTGACGCTGAGGACAAGGTTCCTGACGCTGAGGACAAGGTTGCTGACGCTGATGACAAGGTTCCTGACGCTGAGGACAAGGTTCCTGATGGTGAGGACAAGGTTCCTGACGCTGAGGACAAGGTTCCTGACGCTGAGGACAAGGTTCCTGACGCTGAGGACAAGGTTCCTGATGCTGAAGACAAGGTTCCTGATGGTGAGGACAAGGTTCCTGACGCTGAGGACAAGGTTCCTGACGCTGAGGACAGGTTCCTGACGCTGAGGACAAGGTTCCTGACGCTGACGACAATGTTCCTGATGCTGAGGACAATGTTCCTGACGCTGAAGACAAGGTCCGTTACGCTGAGGATAAGGTTCCTGATGCTGAAAAAAAGGTTCCTGACGGTGAGGACAAGGTTCCTGACGCTGAGGACAAGGTTGCTGATGCTGAGGACGAGGTTCCTGACGCTGAGGACAAGGTTCCTGACGCTGACGACAATGTTCCTGATGCTGAGGACAATGTTCCTGACGCTGAAGACAAGGTCCGTTACGCTGAGGATAAGGTTCCTGATGCTGAAAAAAAGGTTCCTGACGGTGAGGACAAGGTTCCTGACGCTGAGGACAAGGTTGCTGATGCTGAGGACGAGGTTCCTGACGCTGAGGACAAGGTTCCTGACGCTGACGACAATGTTCCTGATGCTGAGGACAATGTTCCTGACGCTGAAGACAAGGTCCGTTACGCTGAGGATAAGGTTCCTGATGCTGAAAAAAAGGTTCCTGACGGTGAGGACAAGGTTCCTGACGCTGAGGACAAGGTTGCTGATGCTGAGGACGAGGTTCCTGACGCTGAGGACAAGGTTCCTGACGCTGACGACAATGTTCCTGATGCTGAGGACAATGTTCCTGACGCTGAAGACAAGGTCCGTTACGCTGAGGATAAGGTTCCTGATGCTGAAAAAAAGGTTCCTGACGGTGAGGACAAGGTTCCTGACGCTGAGGACAAGGTTGCTGATGCTGAGGACGAGGTTCCTGACGCTGGGGACAAGGTTCCTGACGCTGACGACAATGTTCATGATGCTGAGGACAAGGTTGCTGACGCTGAGGACAAGGTTCCTGACGGTGAGGTTGTGGTTCCTGACGCTGAGGAGAAGGTTCCTGACTGTGAGGACAAGCTTCCTGACGGTGAGGACAAGGTTCCTGATGCTGAGGACGAGGTTCCTGACGCTGAGGACAAGGTTCCTGACGCTGACGACAATGTTCCTGATGCTGAGGACAAGGTTCCTGACGCTGAAGACAAGGTCCGTTACGCTGAGGATAAGGTTCCTGATGCTGAAAACAAGGTTCGTGACGGTGAGGACAAGGTTCCTGACGCTGAGGACAAGGTTGCTGATGCTGAGGACGAGGTTCCTGACGCTGGGGACAAGGTTTGTGACGCTGACGACAATGTTCCCGATAATAATAATAATAATTTATTCATTTAAATAAAGCGCATAGGTTATATTATATACTCGAAGCGCTGTACATTATAAAAATCTAAATATATTAAGAATTAAATATGCTATATAAAACATGGTATTGTATACAATTAGAATATACATTAATGTATGTATCTATAATAAGAATGATAGAATCCAATATGGTCTCAACCTATAAAGGGTTATAAGCCTTATTGAAAAGAAATGTTTTCAAGCGTTTCTTAAGCACAGAAATGTTTTCACAGTTCCTGACATCCAAAGGCAGAGAATTCCATAATTGTGGAGCAGCATGTGCGAAAGCCCGATCTCCGAGAGTCTTACAGTTTGTTTTGGGGATGTATAGTAGACCTTGACCATCCGATCGTAATGTCCATCGATCACTTGATTGTTTTGGAATAAGCATTTCAGAGATATAGATAGGGGCAATGTTATTAGGAGCCTTGTAAACCAGTAAGGCAATTTTGAATTCCACCCGGAATTTTACCGGTAGCCAGTGAAGTGATCTCAAAACTGGGGTGATGTGAGAAAATCTTGGACAGTGGTACATTAGTCTAGCAGCGGCATTAAGAACTCTCTGCATTCGCTGGACTTGATACTGAGGTATGCCAGCCAACAGAGCATTACAATAGTCCACGTGTGATGTCACGAAAGCATGTATCAAAGTTTTCGTTGTATTAGTAGATAAAAATTTTCTAATTTGTCGTATTTTATAAAGTCCTCTGAATGCTTTACTGCACATCTTGCCTACATGAACTGACATTGACATATGCTTGTCAAACCAAGATCCCAAATTTCGAACACTGTCAACCGGCTTAATTTGGACCCCACCAACGTTAACGGATTCAATGTTTATTTTCAAAAGTTGTTGTGGTGTACCAATTACAAGAAATTCCGTTTTCGAATCTTTGAACATTAATTTGTGAGACAACAGCCAAGTACGAACATCAGAAATACAATCTTCCAATATGGCTAGGGTACTTTCTGAATTATCTTCACAATCTGGGCGAAAGGATACATAAAGTTGCGTGTCATCAGCATATCCATGAGAAGAGGGTAAGTGCCTGTCAATAATGTCATATAGTTGGGATACATAAAGCAGAAAAAGTATGGGGCCAAGACAACTCCCTTGAGGCACTCCGTACTTAACATCGCAGTCTTCAGAAAAGTTGTTATCCAGATCAACTCTCTGTTTCCTGTTCAATAGATATGATTTTATCCATTCAAGAGCCCTATCCGTCACTCCAAATTGATACTCCAATACGTCAATGATAGTTTTATGATCAATTGTATCGAACGCTGAACTTAAGTCCAAGAGTACAAGAAAACATACTTCCTGCCTGTCCATACTCAGAAGAATATCGCTTTGCACCTTTAGCAGAGCCGTCTCTGTCGAATAATATTTCCTGAAGCCAGATTGACAGGTAGGGAGAGGTGCATGTTTTTCACAATGGTTCAGCAATTGGTTGGCGGCTGCCTTTTCAGTGATCTTAGAAAGAAATGACAGATTGCTCACAGGCCTAAAGTTCTCAAATACTGGGTCCAAGCTAGACTTTTTCAGATTTGGTTTCAGCAAAGCAATTTTCCAGTGATCTGGGACACGACCCTCCTGCAAGGATAAATTTACAATTTTGGTGATAGAGGGAATTAGTTCCAGACAACAGGCTTTAACAAGCCATGATGGGATCGGATCAAGCTTGCAGCTGGCACTGGACAATTGCATAATAACATCATGAATATCCTGGGAAGAAAGTATCTCAAAAGATTTTAATTTGACTTCAGGATTACGGTAATGCACCAACGGAGGATCGACATGGATACTGTCCACATTTTCTCTAATCAATTCAATTTTGCGGAAAAAATATTCGTTGAACCTAATTGCTAATTGACCAAGATCGTCATGAGGTGGTAAGGGATCTTCATGCGGTGCATTACAAAGGGAGCTCACAATTCTGAAAAGATTCTTTGGATCGTTGGAGCTATCACTGATAAGGGAAGTATAATAATCAGTTCGGGCTTTATTCAACAAGTAACAATATCGGTTACATATTTTCCGATAGGCAGTCCAATCTACTTCTAATTTTGTTTTCCGCATCTTTCTCTCTAGTCTCCTACGCTTACTTTCAATTGTCTTAGTTCGTCATTGTACCAAGGAGTTGAACGCTTAACTTTCATTAGCTTTCTTCGGACAGGGGCATGGGTATTTAAAATACGTGAAAGTACGTCATCATAGCAATGCACTAATTCATCAAGATGTGCAATGTTT